CCGGACCTTCACGGGTCAATAAGTTCGAATCCGCTGAAATGTAGTGGGTATCATTAAGATCCGGGTTAGAATTGGTCTACAACAACCCATGCTTGTAGTAAGAGGCGACTAACGGGATCGGGTGGTCAGGCTCGCTGGCTCGGTTGACACATATGATCGTATCCCAATTGCGTAGATCGATGTTCATGCTGTTGATCACTGCACTGGCTGGTCCGAATCGATTGTTCACAAATCGCTGCCAATATAAATAGAATATTGCCGAGTGTGGCGTTAAGCAACAAACAAACAATATTTACGATGCACTCTTTATTACCTACTTTCAGTTGTTGGTGATCTATAGCCTATTTTTATATTGTGTTGTCCCCTATGGTTAAAATGTTTTAGACTCTATTACTAGTTTTACCTTTATATCTGTGATATTCTAGTTGTTTTACTGCCCTTCGTCGGCAGGTAACTATATATATTCTATTACAGTGTCAAATGTTCTCGTCACGATATGGCTGAAATATTGCCGATGTGACGTTAAATAATAACTCACTCACTCACTCACTCACTCTTTATTGGGACTGTCATGATCGAAATGTGTGTGACTGTTTCTATTATACTCCTCACAAAAAGTTAAGCAACACAAATTTGTAGTCTCATTACATCTTCATTGATTGAAATTGCAAATCATGGAATGATGCAATAGAAAGGTCAGAATCATATGTAAACACGATTAGCAAAATGAAACGAAATGGTATTGAGCAATAATAGACTTGCACATCATTAAAGCATGTACCCAGTGAAACAGTCGTGCAAACTGTGCTGCTTTGATGGAGCAAAATGTTAACATTAAGGTTCAAGTCAGTTTTGGACAGTGAAGCAGTGTTTAGTAACGCGTATGACCACCATGAGCACAAATGCAAAAGCTTCTACACGTCTTTGCATTGACCAAATGAGCCTTTAAAGTTGCTGTTCTGCCATTCTCTCTGTAACGCTTGCTCAAGGTCATCCGGAGTCTGGGGGTGAACATGGAGACCGTAAGCATGACTTCCAATAATGTCCAGAGCATGTTCAATGGGATTAAGATGAATTGACCTTGCAGGCCAGTCCATATGTGTGATGTTGTTGATCTAAACAACATCGCTACCAACTCTTTCTCGAGCATTATCATCCATGGACGGGCATTATCATCCATAAAAATGACGTTAGGGCCCGCTTGTTATGCCAGAAGAATGATTACAGGTAGGCTTGCATCGATCAGGGTGCATGTGTGAAGAGTGGAGCACATTCATGCCACACATTGTGCATGTTTATTCTGAGGGTTGTTGTGTTCGGGTGATGTCAATGTTATCAGATAAATAAGTTTGACAGTCACTAAAGGTTATGTATTCTTTGAATTTACCTTTCAGTAACATGTCGGCAAAAATCGCTATTGAGATTGATAAAGGCGCGTTAGCATATACTTATGTCTTCCATACTCTGGGAAACTTCATTCAAGTGACCCATGAAGGTCCCGGTTAGAATTGATCTTCAGTAACCCGTGCTTGTCGTAAGAGGTAGCTAACGGGATCGGGCGGTCAGGTTCGCAGACTTGGTTGACTCATGTCGTTTTTTCCCCAATTGCGTAGATCGATGTTCATACAGTTGATCCGTGGATTGTCTGGTCCAGATCCGAATATTTACAGACCGACGCCATATAGCTGGAATATCGCTGAGTGCGGCGTAAAACTAAACTCACTCACTTATTCAAGTGACATGTGAAAACTGCAGGAACTGGTTTTCAAATTACTTTTTCCTTCCCGTATATTTGACCATATTTCACAGATAACACCTACAAAAAGATAGCTGAACACAACTTACTTGTACGTTACTTTTATGACTTGGAGGATTTCCGGAAAACGCAACCCGGACATAGTGAGTAAGTGAATAACAATTTAAAGTCACATCGGCAGTATTTCAGCCATGTCGTTACTAAAACAAGTTCAAAATACATGATAATTACATTTTAATTATATACTATTTAAAAAAGTTGGAAAATGAAGTTTCAATTTGGATAAGTATTTGCGTTAAGCATAGATTGCACGTGCACAACGCTGTAGCCCTATTCTGCTTACACGTGCATGGGGAGTCATTCTTGATTTTGACGGTTTTCAAGATAAATCACTGGAGACAATTTTGACAATCATCTTACTTCACACAATTGTTTGTGTTTCTAGACGGGTTTTTGTTTGAAATGAAATTCGTACACAAGCAAACTTCACGTCATAGACTAATCATCTTTCAAGAGCAATTACTGTACAACAACTATGGTCATAAGGAAGTGTAAAAGGGAATGCACTCTCAAAACATTCATTATCATCATATCAATATTGATTTACTCCGATATATCTCCCAACCTTTTCAATCATAAATTGAAAATGACGTTCCCGTACTTTTTAAAAAAAATACCTATATATTGTTTACTGCGAAAATGTGATTATTGTTCCGTATGTGTCGACTAACGAATGTACCACGAAAATATGTCACAAGATATTAGTAACTAATATAGTGCTACCGAAATTAACATATGCTGAAATAGAACTGAATTTAATGATAAAGAATTTTATTCATAAATTTATATGTTTACAATTTTGGAAACACGTTGAATAATAGAAACATGACAACTATCACTTGAGACACCAATCGTTTCAGTGAAAACATGGTGAAAGGGGGATCAATTCTAGACCAGTAGACACGTCAAGTACATCACTAGGTATACTGTTATGGGTGATGATGCATGTTTGATAATATATTGCATACTTGTATATATTGATTACATACATGGTACAATTAGATTTAGCTTAAGGTGAGGGACATTCACTGGAGCAAAACAATTTGTTATACAACTGAATGGAATGTAAGCTTTGGGTTTGATTTATTCAGGCAAGCTGCCTTTGTAAATGAATTCACAGTGGCCATCCTATAGACAAAGCATTGAATAACTCAAATACTTGAATTGAAGCTCTGTGTTACTCTGGTCTGGTTGAGAAGTAGATTGTAGTTTTGACTTCTGCCAGTTTTCTTCTCATGATATTGATGTGAGGATAGTACATGTATATACAATTATTATAACCTCGGTCTGTTGGAATGTGTTAACTATGGACAAGCCTAACTGTGAAATCATGATGTTATTACAGACTTCGAAAACCCTGGAGTGAGTGAGTGAGTTAATATTTAACGTCACACCGGCAATATTTCAGCCATATCGTGACGAGAACATACTTAACATTGAAATGGAATATATGTACATTATAAAAACATGTCGACGAAGGACAGTAAAACAACTAGAATATCACAATTATAACTAAAACTAGTGTGGAAAGTTAAAACTAATAGCACTATTTGGACAATACAATATAAAAACAGGCTATAGATCGCCAACAACTAAAGGTAGATCCCCATACTAGGGACCATGGGGACTTACGTTACTTTTGCTACCTGCATGGACCCTAGCTGGATTTACACCATCCCTTCAGCCACTGGTGATGTAGGAAGATTTAGCCGAAAGTTAAAAGAACAGATATACTACGATTAAAAAGTATGGTTGAGCGAAATTGACTTTGAAAGTGTTTGGGACTTACGTACCCTCTCAGGAGGACAATAATTTCACGATACTTTAACCCCCTTTGAGTATACAGCCACTAACAATCGCAGTTGCTAATTCATGCCACCATGTTTAAAATACCATTTATATATTTACAAAACATATTCAAAATTTATGCAATAATTCTATTTCTTTTAAAAAAAACAAGTATTAAATGATAATTTACAGTATAAAAAAGATCCTTCCGTGTTTTGACACTGAAATATTTATCCCTTGTGATTGAAAAATCAATGCAGTCAAGCAGGACATGCTTGACCGTGATTTTTTCATCACAAGGGATACAGAATGGAGGATCTTTACCTTTCAATAAATATTCATGTCTATATCTTGTATGACTAATGCGACATCGTCGCATGATGACCTGCTCAAACCTGGACTGACAACCCAAATAGGCGAGAGCCCTGGAAATGAGGTAATTTTAACTACTAACTGCCATATTCCTTAGCCACTACTTATTGTGAAGTGAATGCCCTCTTCATGTATTACACTGATAAATCAATGTTTTGTACCAACCTACCATTAGGATATTATGAAATTTATGCATATTAATTTATTCTCATTTAGACAGGTTGTTGTGTAGTCCATTTAGTTGTGCGAGATACGTTGTAATATACTCCTGAATTACATCTTTACTCGAAACAATACCCATATAAGGCGCGTCCAGAAATGATTAAAGGCACATCCCCCTTTCTTATTGCTGTGCATACTGCTTTGTCCCTCTTTTTAACTTTCAGATGACATAGCAAATACATTTCAAGTACAAACAGCGTTTTGTCAACGTTGAAGGGACCCACGTAAGTACTTCGAGTTATCTGAGGTTTGATTCAACCGCAAATTCAATAGGCAGGGACCACCTTTTATTTTGAAACAGTTGACACATCATCTCTTTGAATTATTATGAACACACATTACGTAAGAGTTCCGCCCATAATCCCCGCTTGAAATGTATTCTATTTATTATGATTATTTCTAGGGTTTAGGACTAGGTTTAAGGTTAGTTTTAGAGTTCGGTTTAGGGTTAGGAATATTTTTTTAATAAACACCTATTTTAAGGCATAGAATGATAAAAAAACTGAAAACAACCGGGGGTTACGGGCGGAAATCTTTCCCACACATTATAACTACAAACACGCAACCAATTAACACACTGAGCAAGCACTCTATCATCGGTATATACGTGAAAGGATACTCGGACAAGGTTGTGTTGCAAGTGAGCACACGACACAGATGTCACATTTTAAAAATATCAAACGATCTCCGAAAAGGACTCAATGTCAGTGTCCACTTATTTATGCGACAATTTCATCTCCACTGGTCAACAAGAAATCGTTTTCTTCTAAAATTCCGTTTCATTGATGATAAGCTGACTAACGTCTCTCCAAAGTCTGCCCTGGTCGCCCATATATTTCCCCACACTGAAAATGTGTCTTTCTTCCACAACATTGAGCAGGGCCGGGGAGATGTCCCCTCGTCTCACGTCCTCAAACAACACAAGCAGGATACAACCAGCTGGCATTCTGGTGGAGGAATACACAATACGATTAACAATGAAGCGGCACCACTGGTCCTCAATAAAAGACTGGGTGAGAACGAGGACCGTCTTCCAACTGGAATCTATTCCGCTGATGATGTCGTCGGCTATTTGTCCTCCAGGGATGGTATCTCTGTCCTTCAGGAAGAGTTTGACTCCATGTCTATCTTCCAGGTGTTCTCTCACAGTGTGACAGACGTACTGGTAATCGACGTCACTGTAGCCGATGTAGGCGTCGTTTGGAAAGTCAGTACGTTTCGGTGATTTGGAGACATTTACCAACCCAAACAACCGGTGAATGATGTTTAGAACTAAAGTCTTTTTCTGGTATATCAGGTATATTAAAATCATAAATAAAATAATCAGTGCAAAAGCAGAAATAGATATAGACAACCAAATTGGTCCCAAACACCTTCTCCAGGTTTCATCATAATGATGATAAATAGAAGATGGAGATGTAATAACGCCATCATCAGATACACAGGTATATGTATCTATGCTTTCAACATTCACATCTGTTTGGAACAGCCACTTCACAAAGTCTAAGTTCTTACATCCGCAGGACAGAAGGTTGTTGTTAAGGTTCAAAGTAAGGTTATTTGTTGTTGCCAAGGCATCGAGTAGACTCCTCTGTGACGCTGATAGTACAGGCAGCGAGTTGTAACTGAGGTCAAGACGTTGGAGAGACGGGGTTGTTGTGATGTCAAAAGGGATACTCTCAAAGCGGTTAAGGGACAAATCAATGACTGTCAGTTGATTCCAAGCAAATATCTGTGAATCCATGACTGCTAAATCATTGCGACTAAGAACAATAGTTTTCAGTGCACCTAATGGCAAAAACATCTCACGTCCCTCTTTAAGTAGAAAGTCGTTTCTAAAGCCCATTTGAGACATCTTAAGAGTTGTCAAACTTGTAAAATATTTCAATATTCCAGGATTCACGTTGGTGAAGTAGTTTCCAGAGACATCAATCTCAGTGAGGTTCTCTAACCCATAAATATTGTATTGTAAGGCATACAATCCGTTAAATTCAAAGTTGAGACTCTTGAGCGATGCTGCATTTTTAAATTCAATATTGCCGTTTATGTAACCTACCGCGTACAGCGTCCCATGCATACAAAGGTATTCCAGTTTAGGGGGAAGTGTGAGACTGAAGGTTGGTACTGACAACAGGGAGTTATGTTGTGGTAATGTTGTTGGAAAGAACTCGTTTCTCTTCAAAATATTTGAAAAATTCAGAAACACCAACTGAGGTGCGAAGACCAGTTTGAATAACACCTGCTGGTCTCCTAGCAATTCATTACCAGAAAGGTCCAAGTGTACAATGCATTGGGTGAAAGGCGAACTGGGGTTTAAAATCGAAGAATCAATCCATACTATTTTATTATATGTCATTGAAAAGTTCTTCACACAAACGCCTTGAATATTATCGAGCACTTCATGTGTAAGAATTCGCGGTTCAACAGGACCATACCGAAATTTACGGAAACTGTACATTGTATCAAATGAAACACTTGTCATGTTTAGCCCATTTAAACCATACATAGACCTAACAGCATCCACTGGGGCAACGAATGTACTCTTAGAAAGGTTCAAATTCTTGAGCCTTTTCAAATAAACAAATGATATTTTATCTACAGCCTCCAATGGGCAACTACTAAGATCTAGGTCTTCAACATGGCTGTGTTGAAAAGATCGTAACGTGATGTTTGACATTTCTTCAATCTTGCAACCATTAAACCCCAAAAGAAGTCTTTTGAGACTACTCATGTTTGCAAATCCAGATCCAAAGATGGTGATTCTAGATGAATCAATTTTCAATTCCACAACACTCCTTAGTTTACCGAGAGCGGTTTCTGGATATGTACCATTAAACCGTCGGTCATTGTTGTGCAGGTGAAGCTTCTGAAGCTTCTGAAGAGGTAGGAAGACATCGTCCGGCTATGTGTCAGAATTGAGAATGAGCTTGTTGTTTTCCAAGAACAGTTCTTCTAAGTTGTAAATGCTTTCAAACGTCCGCTTTCCCAGTTTGGCTAATTTATTGTTGGAGAGGTCCAGGTAACTGAGTGTATTCCAGGAACTGTTGAGTGGAATGGGCAACACGGCAATGTGATTGCTATGCAAACTGAGCGATGTTGTGTTCAGGGGAAGATCATTTGGTACAGAGGATAGGTTGTTGCTGGAACAGTTTACAAATACTCCTCCATATGTCACATCCTTATGAAACGTACATGCCCAGATAACTTCTCCAGAGAAACAGAAAAAAAGTAGTACAATGTTGTTTGTCATGGTTATGTTACCTGAAATAGAACAAACAATATTGTCAGTATACTACACATTGTATGCGCTCTAGAGTTTCACGGGCGAGAATTACGACTAACATTTTCACTTAATTTCAAATTAAACATTTGTTCAAGCTTTCGTTTCTCCTTGTTCTCTTCGTTTTACCCAAACGTTCTTTCCCTATTTTTCTTTGTGTTTTGTCAAATATTGCAATAATCATTAGTAATAATATGTATCTGTCAATAATGAAGTCAGGACCAGACATAACTGTTACTCATATAAAATGCCTTGTAGAAAGTGGTCAAACGTAAAGCAATGTTATATTTGCGATAACACTTTTGCACTAAAGTACCGAAACTAGTACCTTTGGACGTTGAGACCAATCCGGGATTCAAACCCACGCTTTCAGAGTCAGGCACCTATTCCTGAGCATACAAAGTCAGCGACCTAACCCACTCGGCCATCGCGACCATCCACGACAAATGGAAGCCTCACAACTGGTTGTCTTGATCTTTTGTGTTCCTCTTTGACAAGTGTAAATTGACATGACTCGCAACGCTGAAAGCTATCACAAGCAGGACGCCACCCCGTGGGAGGTCGATGACACACAATCAAGTCAACAAGCCCCTTGAGGGTCATCGCTCGACCCATCAACCACTTGGTCCAACGAGTCATAGGAAGCTATTGTAATCAGACATTCCAAAAGACGTCATCAAAGTTCATCTTTTGTGCCAAGGACCAGTGACGATCCGGGTTAGAATTGTTTTTCAGTAACTCATGCTTGTTGTAAGAGACTACTGACGGGATCGGGCAGGGAGGCTAGCTGACTTGGTTGACATGTGTCATCGTATCCCAAGTGCACAGGTCGGTGCTCAAAAATTGCCAAACAAGCATTTGGATCTTTTGAAATCCCGTTAAAGTGCCATTGCTGGCATCATTACACCCCATTGCTATTTACTCAGAATAAACTATAATTTATTGGGCGGAAGGCTTCCTCAGATGATGTTGAAGTTATCCTTCCATAAGGACATGGAAGTCTTTTATTGCCCAAAATGTGTTTCCTTCCAGTAAAGATACCGTCATATGAGCGAAATATTCTCAAGCACGATGTAAACCCCAATTTCACCTCACCTGACCTTCCAGTAAAGCGTTAGTATCCAAATATTCCGATCTAACCCCCTACATATATAGTATGACTGATATGGATTGTAGATGTTGAAAGGGAGAAAACAATTTCATATCGTGGCATCAGTTTTTGTACTTCTGTAAGTAACACTATATAAGAGTTGTTTAACTCCACTGGCTTTAAGTAAATACGCTTTGATGGGACTTTGCTCGCTTTGGTCATTTAACCTTACCTTTAACGTTAGATTTGGAAATATATACTGAACAAAATAGAAACTTGATGAAATGAATTACTTTGAAAATTGGTAGTACAAGGTAGTTAATATGGACGAATACCAAAATTTCCTGGTCTAGCCTGACTATAGGCCCATTTCAACTGTGGTGAATCACCTGGGGTGTATGCAGCACGCTATTTTGTGAACACACAACTCTGCATGTACATGTGACACCTGTTTACTGATCCTTGAGAGATAAACAATGCTCATGCCACGCCTTACAGATGTTGGCCGTGAACGTGCTCAAGGCAGGTCAGTCTACTGTGGCTGTTGCACGTGAGATGGAATAGTCGGAAAATTCACAGCTTGAGGACACAGGTGCATCAGACAGTACGACATCTATTCGGCCCAGACCAGGACAGCCACGTGTGACATCACATGCCGAGGACAATCAAATTCTGCTGCGTCATTTGCGTAATCGTTTTACGACCGCAACGTTGTTCAGTATACCATGTAACCTAACCAGGAAATTTCCATCGTGCTATTTTGATGTAATGCTATATTCGACAGTAACTGTTCTACATAGAGAATACTACACGAGGTCTCATTACATACGAATTATACGAAACTCTCGACCTTCCGATGATATCTGACCATCGCTTTCGCTCGGTCAGATACCATAGGAGGGACACTCGGAAGGTCACGAGTTTCGTATAATTCGTTTGTAATGAGACCGAGTGTGGTATTTTATTTGTTACCCACGTCTTACATGCATTAAATTGACAAAATAGCGTGTTTTTGTTATGTTTTTCGTTTCAAACCGAAACCGGTTTCATAAAGAGGTTGCGGAAGAGTTTTGTACTGTAGTACAATATTTGCATGACGTCACGCTGTAATGACGTCACTGCCTTGGTAACCGACGTCACGATGCATGTCAGTTGTCATCGCCTCGTACAGCCTCCTACAGTAAACTACTCCGTAGCACCTCGTTTCTTGGTTTCCAGCTGCTTTATTCGGCTAACATCACTGGTGGAAACATTGCGTTTATGTGTTTCGACGGATGTAATGTCTCAGTTCGACTCACAATTAAACAGCGACAAGGCAACGTTCGCAATGTTTACATTCCCACAATGCATTTAAGTTGTAGAATGAATGAATTCACGTGTTTGTTATGACTGAAAAAATAGTTACGTCAGAATGTGACCAAACTGAGAGATCATCGGTTATCCAATCAAATCGTTAGAATCTGAGGTCAAGTCGTTACGACACAGGTCAACGCGATACGACACTCGTGTGACGTACGAGATGAGTCTGCAACTACCCATACGTTGACCACGTGGGTAATAAAGTTATTTATTACCAACGAGCGCGAAAATATCGGGTTCAAATATTTCATACGATGCCCAAGAGCAAAATATCACTTTCTTCTGTGACGTTACGTTCTACATACTGCGACGGCGGGTAGCCAGCCTATGTTTGAAAGTAGATTTGGGATTATTTTCCTCAGTTTGACAACTTCGGTAATAAACAGAATATTATATTCGTGCCAATATCATACTATGTACTATATCGACACCATGCCTAAATATCGGTATATCCCTCGCACTCGCTCGGAAATTACCAACATTTAGGCACTCGTATGACATGGGCACTAATATAATATCTTTTGTATATGATCAGACAAATGCCCTTGTATCCAGATATTATCTGTAAAACACAAAAGCACAAGTATTATATCACATACCATCGTTACATTTTTATCTCATGTTTGTAGATTGGTTGTAAGCATATTGGCAACCTGTTGGCATGCGGATCGATGATCACACTCTTGTCACTGGTTTGCGTGCTTCAGTCTCGATTGTTACTGGAAACTGCAGTATAGATGGAATGTTGCGCTTTCTTGATACCTACATTCACCAGAAACTTATCGCCAATCCTTACTGGCTCCTATAGACCGCCTCCGTGGTGTAGTGGTTAGAGGGTCCGCCCGGAGAGCGGAAGGTCACGGGTTCGATCCCCGACCGCGTTATACTAAAAGACGTCAAAATATGGTACTTGTTGGTCCCTAGGCGCTAGGCATTAATGGGTACAACAAGGACTGGTCAGCTCGGAGCCAGTATAATGTGTCTGAGTGGGGTATTCATGCTTCACTGCGGCATGGTATCTCAGTGGGCTAGCACTATAAAACCAGCTTAAGTCTGGGCTAGTACAAGCAGCCGCACATACACATACACACGCATGCACGTCGTCATATGAGCGAAATATTCTCAAGCACGACGTAAGACCCAATTTCACCTCACCTACTGGCTCCTATAATGATTCCATGTTTGTCGGCACCATACCCGTGAGCATGAGGTTCACGAAAGTGAGGGCGGTTCGGTAGCCTAGTGGTTAAAGCGTTTGCTCGTCGCGCCGAAGACCCGGGTTCGATTCCCCACATGGGTACAACGTGTGAAGCCCATTTCAGGTTTCCCCCGCCGTGATATTGCTGGAATATTGCTAAAAGCGGCATAAATCCAATTCACTCACTTCACCAAAATGGTACCCGCCTGACACCTGTGCACAGAGCTTCAGACTTTTCTTCCACATCAAACTGACACATCGTCATATCACTGGAATACGTTCCAAGGTGTTAAACCAAACTCCCTCTGTCGTAAGTTTAGATACGTTTAACAATACTTACATGTCAACATGGATCTTCATTTAACACGACTACGTCTGCAGGCGTCTGTGATTGTAGTTGCAGCTGTCGTGATGTAAATGAGCTCCGCATGCGATAGAGCCCGGGTCGAGGTTCGGGTTTGGAGGAAATCAGCATTGTGACAATGTGAAACTCGGTAAATGTAGTCTCGAAGGACATAATTATCATCACATTATCCGCTATGTATGTTGGTTAGTTGCTGTTTAACGCCGCACTCAGCCGTTCAAACAAATACACACACACACAAACACACACACAGAGACACACGCGCGCGCACGCACGCATGCACACACACGCATGCACACACACACACGCACGCACACACAGCTGGGATATTGCTGAGTGCGGCGCTAAACAACAAACAAATATTCAAACAATAACATAAGGGCAATAACATACAAATAAACGAAAATATCCGACAAATAAGATGTAACACCGTATAGTTCAGATGCACATAGAGTGAATAAGTGTTGATTTTATTATTCAGCCTCTGGGTGATGTGGTGGTTTGTGGATCAGTTGAAGTTAAGCAACGCTGGACGCGGAGAGGTCTTGGATGAGTGAGGGGGTTTGACAGCTTGACTCCTGAGAGTGTCTTGGACTTCAGTCATGTCCCACAACGAAGCACATGTGATACACGTGGTCTCACCTCAGGCAAGTGTATTTGTTCAGAATTACCTCTGTTCACCCAGCAGAAAATGGGAACCCGATGGGATAATCTTCTAGGAAGCTTGGGTTATCAGGATATGAAGGCTGGAAAGCCGGGTTATAAATATTCTACATATGTGTGGCAGGTTTTCTTCCATATGTACACACGTTCTTGCCACAGAAGGTAATCCCAGTGTCTGGTTTTGATTAGTGACAAGGTTTCTTAGAAACTTTAGTGACTCTATCTCGACAAAGTTACAAATTTGCTTAAAGAAGGCTTTGAGGATGTGAATACTAATATCTGCTCAGCTTGTCCACCACTGCTTGTACTAGCGTTTCTTGTGATTTGATAAGGCTGGTTTAACTGTAGATTCAGATAAATGCAATACCGCCTGATGTGTTTCCTTCATTCAATAATGAGTGAGTGAGTTTAGTTTTACGCCGCACTCAGCAATATTCCAACTATACTCCTCACAAAAAGTTGTGACAACACAAATTTGTAGTCTCATTACATTTTCATTTATTGAGTGTTTGTTGAGTAATCTGTATCAGGTCTGTGTCAGATAAGGGGAGGAAACTGATAACGGTAACCGTGTTGTTCAGGACGTTCCTCGTTGGAGACCCGTGGCGAAACCGGATAAAAACAGTCGTGTTTCCTTGTCGTTATCTTCTGGTAGTACTACAAAGGTGACTTCCTGGAGAACTTGTAACAGAAAGGGTCGTCTTTCGATTTGTAATTACAACATTTCGCAAGTTTGTTTGTTGTTTAACGTAGCAGTTAGAACTTACTAAAATATGCATCAGCAAATTCATGCGAGTGTCCGCCCCTGACCGAAATGCATCATTATAATATCGAGGCAAAGCCAGCATGGGACAGAAATGGATTGACATGTTGAATATACCGTGCAGACGGGGTAACAAGATAAGGTTCAAGCAACACATACCCGCGCACGCATGCACGTCGCTATGTAACTGAAATCATCGTGAACGCCACGTTAAGCACAACTTCACCCTTCCTCACTGATTTATAATAATAATAATAATAAATGCATATTTATAATGCGCCCCTTCCACACCCTAAGGCATGCTCAAAGCGCTACAGAATATTTACACTGGAGTATTTACAGATGAAGTTATACATAATATACTGAGAAAAGGTGGGTTTTAAGTCTGGACTTAAAAATGTCAATTGTGGCAGAGCTTTTAAGGGCACATGGGAGAGAGTTCCAAAGCACAGGCGCGGAGTAAGAGAATGAGCGGTGTCCGAAGGATTTCAGTTTGTAGGATGGGATGACCAGTCGGTTTTGTGTGTTTGAGCGCAAGTTGCGTGCAGGGACATACGGATGTAGGAGTTCAGACAAGTAGGAGGGAGCCAAACCATGGAGGCACTTGTATGTCAGACAGAGGATCTTAAAGTCAATTCTGGCCCTAACTGGTAGCCAATGCAGTTCTTTCAACACTGGTGTTATTTGGGAACGTTTAGAAGTCTTGCTGATGATGCGGGCGGAAGTATTTTGGATCTTCTGAAACTTATCAAGGAGTTTAGAACTGAGGCCTGAAAGGATGCTGTTACAGTAATCAAGCCTAGATGTAACAAGAGCTCGAACAAGGGCTTGAGTTGCAGCAGTTGTCAGGTATTGCCGAATGTTGCCAATGGATCTTAGGTGAAAGTAGCAGGTCCTGCTCAGACGGTTAACATGAGCATCCAGAGTCAAGGAAGAGTCGATGTGGACACCCAAGTCCTTAACCACATCAGAGAATCTGACGTCAGAGTCTGCGACTGTAAGGGTGTCGGTTTTGACCTTGCTGAGTTGTTGCTTTGTACCAATGAGAACTGCTTCTGTTTTTGTGTCATTAAGTTAAAGCATGTTTCCCGTCATCCAGCACTTGATGTCCTGCGTACATTCAGCGATGCACTGAAGGGACGTAGATAGATCTGACAGATGAAATGCTTTCAGGAGCTGGGTGTCATCAGCGTAGGCATGATGAGAAACTGTGTGGTCTGTAGTAATCCTTCCGACATATCCGGTATACAACACAAACAGGACTGGACCAAGGACTGATCCCTGTGGCACCCCACATGTGAGTACAGTGCCTTTTGATCTCTCAGTGCCAACAACAACAGATTGCTGTCGGTCAGACAGATAAGACGTCACCCATTGAAGGGCATGACCTTCAAGTCCGTACTGTTGTGTGAGCCTGGACAAGAGCCTATGGTGATCGATTGTGTCGAAGGCTGCAGAGAGGTCCAACAACACTAGAGCAGCAATCCTACCCTCAATCCTACCCAGCACAACGAAGCCCATTCGTCACTTGCAGTAACGCAGCCTCCGTACTATAGTATTGCCGATACGCTGACTGGAATTCATCAAGCAGAAGATGTTTAGAGAGATGGTCTTTGAGTCTGACATGCACGGCCTTCTCAATTATCTTGGAAATGAAGGATAAATTTGAGACAGGTCGATAGTTCTGAAGATTCTGAGAGTCAAGATCAGGTTTCTTTAGCAGAGGTTTGACTACAGCATGTTTGAATCTGGATGGAAATACACTACTCCCCAAACTTGAGTTGACAATTTTGGTAATGCTTGGCAGCAACAAGTCAAGATATTGAAACAGAAGTTTAGTTGGTATGGGGTCGGAGTCGCAAGTGGTAGGCTTTGAAGAGCGGATAATTGATTCAATGTCCTTGGGGGTGAAGGGTGCAAACTGTGTTAGTGGATCGCCTGTGAAAAGAGGTTCACTGAAACACCTATCAACTTCCTTGGCTGAAAGTCCTTGTCGAATGGTATCAATCTTTGAAATGAAAAATGAGTTGAACGAGTCTGCGAGTTCCATGTGACTTTGTCCGGGAGGTACTCTATCACCATCACCTCCTTTACCAAGCAGTTTATTCATAAACCTGTAAAGGGAAGCAGGTTTCCCCATACTATTCTGTATACTGTGAAGACAATATTTCCTTTTAGCAGAGATGATTAAAGAGGTGGTAGCATTTCGGCACTGTTGATATATCTGCCTGTGAATTTCCAGGCGTGTCTTACGCCACTGACCTGCTCTGCGCCGTTGTGTCTTAGAACGACGAATGGACTCGTCATACCATGGAGCATGAGGACGAAGTATCACATTCTTCTCAACTGCCGGAGCATGTTTGTCTAGAAGAGATGTGAGGGTGTCATGGAAAGGGACAACATGGTCCTCAACATCAGGGGGAGGATCAGTGAGGAGGTTTGAATTAACCAAGTCAAGTCTGAAACTATCTGGCTGAATCTTCTTGATGTTTCGACACATCAAGATTGAATGCTTGTTGTTTGGCTTAATTAAGTCAATAGCAAACAAGACATTGAAGTGGTCAGACATTTGGCGATCGATGACTTCGACATCTTTGATAATATTGCAGCTGCTGTGTGTGATAATCCAGTCAAGAATGTTGCCAGATTTGTGTGTGGCGACAGACACATGCTGGGTAAGGGAATAAGTATTCAGTAGCTGAATGTATTTCTTGACCTCGGACTTCTCACGAGTGTTGAAGTGCACATTAAAGTCGCCAAGAATTACTGTATAGTTTTGGAGTGTGTTGCGAAGAGGGTAGATAACTCTGGAAGAAAGTCATTGTTTTTCAGTTTCAAAGGTTAAAGTATGTTACGTGTCGGTCAACCGGAAACTTGTAGCAAAAGGATTCGCAGTGAAGCCAACACACAACAAAGAAATCTGATATACTTAACAATAGTATTATTGTATTTTGAGATCAACTAAATTTACAAATCATTATAAAGGAATACTAACGGCAGAAAAAATAGACAGAAAGTACAAAACAAATAGCAGTATGAATACATTGTCAACACAATTGAAAGGTAGTGATTATAGCAATGAGAAAGTGATGATACTATTCAACAAACTGCAGGTGCAACAACGGTCAAGCTTTTCGAGGTTGGCGTACGATCTTCACTTGTAATGTGAGAAAAAGTAGGCAAAAGTTTCCATCTGTAAGTGCATCCAAGTCTTGGCTCGTGTTGTTCATTTGATCAGAGTGTTTTATGTATCTTCAACGGTAGACCAACTATTCAATTAACACTTTCTAGAACATTTGAATCAGTTTTATCTAATGAAATACAAGTGACACATATTTGTTAAATAAGTATATTTATATAATAGCCATGAGGTAATGAATGACTATAAAACATGATGAGCCCGTGAAGATCCGGGGTAGAATTGGTCTTCAGCAACCCACGCTTGCCACAAAAGGCGACTATGCTTGTCGTAAGAGGCGACTAACGGGATCGGGTGGTCAGGCTCACTGACTTGGTTGACACATGTCATCAGTTCCCATTTGCGCAGATCGATGCTCATGCTGTTGATCACTGGATTGTCTGGTCCAGACTCGATTATTTACAGACCGCCGCCATATAGCTGGAATATTGCTGAGTGCGGCGTAAAACTAAACTCACTTACTCACTCACTAAAACATGATGACATAGACTTTACGGCTAAACGGTGAGAGAATCCTGGTCCATCGGTGAAACAAACACATGCAAAGGCGTGTCAAATGTTCATTTGAAAAATCATGGGAACAGATAGTGTAAGTCAAAATAGGGCATTGCAACCAACCCATGCGTCATTTTTCAAACGCCTCAACATGTCCATTGTAAAACCAGTTGATTTGTTGACAAAGGTCTTAAAGACTGCCTCCGTTGTGTAGTGGTTAGAGCGTCCGCCCGGAGAGCGAAAGGTCGCGGGTTCGATCCCCGACCGCGTCATACCAAAAGACGTTAAAATATGGTACTTGTTGGTCCCTGCCTGGCGCTCGGCATTAATGGGCCAAACAAGGACTGGTCGGCTCGGAGTCAGTATAATGTGTCTGAGTGGGGTATTCATGCTTCACTGTGGCATGGTATCTCAGTGGGCTAGCACTATAAAACCAGCTTCAGACTGGGCTAGTACAGGCAGCCGCACATACACATACACACGCATGCACGTCGTCATATGAGCGAAATATTCTCAAGCACGACGTTAGACCCAATTTCACCTCACCTCACCTCACAAAGGTCTTAAATCAACATTTTCAAATCCTGATGTACTGGCTGACCTCCTGCCACAGCCTTTCTTCATCCCACAGCAATTTCTCAGGTAAATCTTGAATCTTGATGGGAGCCTTCTTACCTGTGGATGTAAGACTTTATAAAGTGGTTGTTCAAATCAAGGGTTCAACTACAAGAAATATACTACCAATGCGTAAGGGACGACGGATCTGTGGTGAACACAACTTTAATCTTTGAGGACCATGATGAAAAAAAGAGATGGTGTTCTGGAACGTTCTGGTTGTATATAAGCATAATACTTGCAGCCATGTGTCTGTTAGCAATGGGTATAGTATCAATGATAACCCAAAAAAACTCTACTCGTGAATAATTCTTCGGATGATTTTCCCAATGATGCATACTTCGGATACAGTGATAGCGATTACCAATATATTTGTAATCGGAATCGTAATCAGAATAGGCCTACGCTATTCCTCAAGGACAGAGACACCATCCTGCAGGTCATGACAAATTGCTGATGACATCATCGACTGTATAGGCTCCAGCTGGAAAATCCTGCAAGCTCTCAGCCAATCCTTTCTTGTGGATGAGAGGTGCCGCTTCATTGTCAATCGTGTTGTGTATTCGTCTTCGAGAATGCTAGCAGAGTGTATTGGTTTGATGTTGTTTGAGGACGTGAGACGAGGAGACATCCCTCGTACCTTACTGAACGTTGTGTAAGAGACATACATCTTCAGTGTGGATATTTACAGGGAGGAAGGATGTAGGAGGCCAGACAGTACATCAGGATTTGAAATGTTTCATTTAAGGCCTTTGTGGACATAATGTATGATTGACTTGATGAGGCATTGCCAAATTTGACGGGTTGGTGATATAAAGAATGTCTGATGCAATGCCCAAGTTTGTATTGTACCAATGTTCCCATGACTTTTCAAATGTAAATCTGACGTGCCTTTGTTTCCCCGATGGGCCATGATACTTTCATCATTTCACGAAAACTCCTCATAATCTGATGGTGAGTTATTACCTCACTAATATGATATAGTCATTGTTTTTAAGAAATATGTGTCACTTGTATTTCATTGGATAAAATGTATTCAAACGTTGTAGAAACACTTTAATCAAATGAGCAACACAAACCACGAACTGGAAGCACTTAGAGATGGAAACTTTTGACCAGAATATCCATCAATCAATCTTTATTCAGCACTTAAAACGGCCACAGGCCTGTAGTACATATAATGCATACATGAGTACATAGAAGTCATTTATAAACTCTTTTCTGTAACAATCATTTTACTTAACCTCATAGCGAAATAGATGTACATTGCAAGTTCTGTTAAAGTGAGTAGTGTCTGTTTATAATGAAATTAATTTTCTTACAGTTTGATGCTTATAATATAATAGTGTGGCTTTAGGTAGTTCGTTCGTAGAGTCGTATAAACAGCACAGACTAGAAGGAAATGTAGTTCATCTTCAACACTATTCATATTACATAATTGACATATTCTGTTTTCTCTTTGTATACCTGCATACCTGCCAATTTCAATAAATAATTCACGGAAACAGCAACGAAAACGAGAGAGAGAGATATATGCAAAATAGTCTTCAAAACGTCTGTCCGAATTCTATTGATTATAGTATAAACATTTTGTGGATAGAAGCAATGATTCCGTCAAAGCTTGTAAATACATATCTTTTATTCTTTGTGAAAATGATATGATAAAATTTGCATGGGACTAAAAATTGTGATCACACCACACATAACCATAGCCAGTTTTGTACAACTCCCTAATATCAGTCACCAATTTTCCCATTTTCGTCATACAATGTCATCATATCATAACATCTTTTCGGAAACCCATGGCATGGCATATGCAGTAATCTTACCCAATACTTTATGGCTTTAACGGAAGAATATATAAGCGAGGGAAATATACCTAATTCTCCTTAAACCATCAGATTACATGTGTTCGGTTTTACACCAAGAAACCTTTTTGCACGCATATAAATGAACTCTTCAATATTGTCATATTGCTGTAATCCCCATATTTCAGAGCCATATAGAAGTATTGGACTTATCTTCATATCGAATATTTTAAAGGACATTTCACCTAGAGATCTCATATTTTTAAATTTCAAGGCTTGTACTGACGCTTGTCTTGTGTTTTTGAACCAGGAAAGACTATTAGAGAAATATACGCCAATGAACTTATGAACACTGATAGTTTGGAGTAGTTATCCTTTATGATATAATTTTTCTAATTTAGAAAGTTTTCCACCTTTCTTAAAGACGATAATTTTGGTTTTGTCTCTGTTTACACACAATTTATATTGGTCAGAAAATTTGTCTAATTCATATATGTGTTTCTGTAAACCGCTAACAGTACTAGAGAATAATACAAAATCATCGGCAAAGAGTAGCAGAAATATACTGAGTCAAAAAAGAAACTTCACATTCTTTCTTCAGGGCACTATAAAAGAACAAGAGATGGTAAGATGGTTTAATTGTTATTATTTCATTGCTGAGATCTGTGTGATGTACTCGATACACAGACAGTGCCATAATCAGTTCCATTAGGCTACACCGCCGTTCCAAAACTTGGGTATACAGAATGTCAAGTCACAAGAATAAAAATGCGAAATTTCTCAGTTCAATATCGTGTATGGCCGCCCCGCGCATTCACCACTGCCAAACACTGTCTCCTCATCGACTGCCTGATGCTTGTGAACACGTGGTTGGGGATTCTGCGCCATTGCTCTTGCAAGGCAGCGCCAAGTTCCTGCAAATTCTGAGGTTGGTTCCTAAGACCACGAAGCCTTCTCCCAAGAGCATCCCAAACGTACTCTATTGGATTAAGGTCAGGGGACCTCGATGGCCAGTCCATGACGTTGATTCCAGCGTTTTGAAGGAAATTTTGTGTCAACATCGCGGTATGCGGCCGAGCATTATCATGCTGGAACTGTAGACCTGGGCCATGAGCCGCCGTGAAAGGAACGAGTTCAGGGGTGAGCACTTGGTCGCGGTAAGCAGCAGCTGTGAGGTTTCCACCGATGACCAGAAGTCGGGAACGGTTGTTCCCACAGAAAGCACCCCACACCATGCAACTTCCGCCCCGAATCTGTCGACTTCCTGTACACAACATTGGGCATACCGTTCACGACCTCGTCTCCAGACTCTATGCCTGCCATCAGCGAATCTGAGGGTCAACCTGGATTCATCGCTAAAGGCGACTGGATTCTAGTCTCTCTGGGTCCATCGGAGGTGACATTGGGCCCACAGCAGACGTTGATGTTGATGAAACGGCGTCAATATTGGCCCACGATATGGAAATCGAGATTGGAGATTGGCAGCCCGCAACCGGTTTTGAATGGTCTGTGAGGACAGTCGACCTCTAAACATCTCAGCCCTGGTTCGTGTAGCCGGCAGAAATCTGTCACGTAGATGACGTAGGACGATTTGACGGTCTTCTGCTCGTGACGTCACACGTGGATGACCCGACCTTGGGCGATCTGAAGTGGTGCCAGTTTGTTGTAGACGACCTCGCAAGTCATACACAGTGCGACGGCTGCATCCCATTGCTCTTGTGACGTCAATAACTGATCTTCTCGCTTGCAACATGCCAACGGCACGTTCACGTTGCACATTTGACAATCGTGGCATTTCAAGTACCGTTAGAACTGTGGTTTAAAAGTGTTTTTACAATTCTTGAGGCCAATGCAAACACGTGCATATGAAGACTGCACGTGCAAAACCTGATTTGGCACTAACGTCATTTGCACGACGAATGGATGCGTTTGAGTGGGTTTTGCTAACGTTTTTCTAGAGTCGAAAGATAGGGATCCCATCTCTGATACATAGATGTATCATCAGAGAAGAAATATTCATTATTTTTCAAATTACATTTTGTGAAGTTTCTTTTTTGACACAGTATATTTATGTATTCTGTCTTTCTATATTACATGAAAGTATTTTGAAACTCATATGGGCCTCCATGGACCTCCATTGCACGGCGATTTCGGGGTCCAAAATAAGTGGGTGTCTTGCCAATTCCGGCAATGTCATGTTTTCTGTCTTTTGGTATTGCTGTGTTACCATACACATGAACTTCGTTGCATCTATCAACTTGATTAATCTATCTTCCTGCGTTGAAAATCATCTGACACACGGTATTTCGATTCTGACAGTCCTAAGCGCGGTTATATGTTGGCACCTTTGTCAGCGATACATTTCACACCAATGAGGAATACGCTTTCATTTTATCAACATGATGCGCTCAGTCCGCGAGATTTAACTGACGTTTTCGATGAAATCTTGAACCTCATACACGGACGTTTCACATACCACATCACTAAATATGAGGATATTTCTTCTATACTTGCTTTCAATGTTTTCTACGTTATCCGACACGTTTGAATGATCTCGATTTTCCCTTTGACCCCAGACAGCATATAAAAATAAAGCATACAGCTTTATGGATGACGCCTTCTTGTTGATTGCATAGATTCCTTATCAAGCTAAGAGTGATCAACCTTATGACCAATCTACACCGAAACGCCGTTATATGCAATAAACAAGAAGTTCTTATCCTCATCGTTGCATGCTTCATTACTGAATGAAGGAAACACATACATTTCATTTTCGTTAATCGTGTGTACACATGTTTCACCTTTCTATTGCATCATTCCATTATTTGCAATTTCAATAAATGAACATGTAATGATACTACAAAGTTATATTGTCACAACTATTTGTGAGGAGTATAGTTGGAATATTGCTGGGTGCGGCGTAAAACTAAACTCACTCACTCTTTATTGAATGAAGGAAACACATACATTTATCTGAATCTGCAGCTCTGTTTATTATCCAGGGCCCCGTTCCTCAAAGCGATCGTAGCGCTACGACAGTCGTAACTCCCATACTTTAACATAGACTTACGACTGTCGTAGCGCTACGATCGCTTTGAGGAACGGGGCCCTGCCTTATCAAATCACAAGAACCGCTAGTACAAACAGTGGTGAACAAGCTGAGCAGATATTCGTATTCACATCCTCAAAGCCTTCTCAAAAGCAAATCTGTATCTTTGTCGAGATAGAGTTACTAAAGTTTCAAACTAACCTCACTAATCTAACCTATACACTGGGATTACCTCCTGTGGGTAGAACGTGTGTACATATGGACGACAATTTGCCACTCATCACCCAGAAACTGATTAATAAAATCAACACTTATTCACTCAGGTAAGAAACCTTGTTGTTTTGTACAATGTGCATTTTAACTATATGCTGTTTCATCTTATTTGTCTGATATTATTGTTTATCTGCATTCTATTGCCCTTCCTGTGTGAATGTTTGTTTGTGATTAACGCCGCATCATCATCATTATTATCATCATCATCATCATCTCACTTACTCTGCGTGTGTGTGCATACATAACGGCTGAGTGCGACGTTAAAAAATAAACAACAACCAACCAACCAGCCAATATACACAACGGATCATGTGATGTTAATTATGTCCTTCTACACTACATTTACAGAGTTGCACGTTGTCACAATGATAATTTCCTTCTAACCCGGATCTCAGTTGGGACCTTACCCGAACCTCGACCCGGGGTTCTATCGGATGCGGAGCTCATTTACAGCACGACAGCTGCAACTACAATCACAGACGCCTACAGACGTAGACGTGTTAAAGGAAGATCCATGTTGACATGTAAGTATTGTTAAACGTATATAACTTACGACAGAGGGAGTTTGGTTTAACACCGCTTGGAACGTATTCCAGTGATATGACGATGTGTCAGTTTGATGTGGGAGAAAAGTCTGAAGCTCTGTGCACAGGTGTCAGGCGTGTACCACTTTGGTGAAGTGAGTGAGTTGAGTTTTATGTCCCTTTTAGCAATATTCCAGTAATAGCACGGCGGTGGACACCAGAAATGGGCTTCAAACATTGTACCCATGTGGGAATCAAACCCGAGTCTTGGCCGTGACGAGCGAACGCTTTAACCGCTTGGCTACCGAACCGCCCTCACTTTCGTGAAACTCACGGGCACGGGTGTTGTTCTGACAAACCTAGATTCATTATAGGAGCCAGTATTGATTGGGGATATGTTTCTGGTGTCGAGTCTGGAGCACGCAAGCTGGTGACAAAAGTGAGATTATCGTGTGCCAACACGTTGCGAAAATACTCACAACCAATTCCGACGGCTTGCCATCCAGTCCGTATTTTGCGAAGAACACGAGATACCAATATAACGATGGTATGTGATAAAAAACTAGAGTATTTGTGTTTTATAGATAATGTCAGGATGCAAGGGCAGTATACATTTGTGTGGCCATATACAACTGTCTAATTGTCGAATATAGCATTGCTACGAAATAGCACAATGGACATTTCCTGGTTAGGTTGAATGGTATACTGTGAAAAAAGAACCTTTATGTCCCAAACATGCCCTAATAGAAGAAACAGTGTTTCTACTTGATAAATCCGTTTTATGGACGTAATGACTGACATTAATATAGGATTAAGCATTTAGGTGGGCGTGGCCCACCCTCCATAGTCAACAATAGCACGATGGCGTCACTGTTTGATTTCACAGGGACTAGTCATCTGTGTTGGAGCTTGTTCAGATCCGCGTATGCCCCCTGTCGCATTCAACGTTGTCTCATTGTTGCCTAGCACCCATGAACACAGCATTAGACAACTTTGTTGTACTAACGTTTGCGATGGGATTGAGGTCAGGTGCAGTCGATGGCCACCCCATGACTTCAATGACATCACTTTACAGGTATTTTAGTCATCTGTACTAACCCGGATCTTCACGAGTCCTTTGGGCAAGAGATAAACCAGACGTCGTTTAGAATGTCGGGTTACAATACATTCCTATGACTCGTTGGGCTAAGTGATTGATTGGTCAAGTGGTGACCCTCAAGGCTTGTTGACGTGATTGTGTGTCATAAACCTCCCACGTCCTGCTTATGATAGCTCTCGGCGTTGCGAGACGTGCCAATTTACACTTGTCAAAAAGGAACACAAAAGATCAAGACAACCAGTTGTGAGGCTTCCATTTGTCGTGAATGGTCGCGATGGCCGAGTGGGTTAGATCACTGACTATTATGGTTTTGCCAACATTGCCAACGTTGGGCCAACGTCCAAATGCTATCTGGGATGGCGGCGGTTTGTCAATAAATCGAGTCTGGACCAGACAATCCAGGGATCAACAGCATGAGCATCGATCTGCGCAATTGGGAACCGATGACATGTGTCAACCAAGTCAGCGAGCCTGACCACCTGATCCCGTTAGTCGCCTCTTACGACAAGCATGGGTTACTGAAGGTTCATTCTAACCCGGACCTTCACGGGATGTTACATTTGATCACTTTGTAGGCCGTGAAACCCCAAAGCGCACACCGTGTGTAGTATACTGACATTATTGTTTGTTCTATTTCAGGTAACATAACCATGACAAACAACATTGTACTTCTTCTTGTCTGTCTCTCTGGAGAAGTTATCTGGGCATGTACGTTCCATCACGATGCGACATATGGAGGAGTGTTCGCAAACTGTTCCAGCAACAACCTATCCTCTGTACCAAATGATCTTCCCCTGAACACAACATCGCTCAGTTTGCATAGCAATCACATTGCCGTGTTGCACATTCCACTCAACAGTTCCTGGAATACGCTCAAATACCTGGACCTCTCCAGCAATAAATTAGCCAAACTGGAAAAGCGGACGTTTGAAAGCATTTACAACTTAGAAGAACTGTTCTTGCAAAACAACAATCTTATTCTCAATTCTGACACATACCCAGACGATGTCTTCCTACCACTACAGAAACTTCAGAAGCTTCACCTGCACAACAATGACCGACGGTTTAAAGGTATATATCCAGAAACCGCTCTCGGTAAACTAAGAAGTGTTGTGGAATTGAAAATTGATTCATCTGGAATCACCATCTTTGGATCTGGATTTGCAAACATGAGTAGTCTCAAAAGACTTCTTTTGGGGTTTAATGGTTGCAAGATTGAAGAAGTGTCAAACATAACGTTACGATCTTTTCAACACAGCCCAGTTGAAGACCTAGATCTTTGTAGCTGCCCATTGGAGGCTGTAGATAAAATGTCATTTGTTTATTTGAAAAGGCTCAAGAATTTGAACCTTTCTAAGGGTACATTCGTTGCTCCAGTGGATGCTGTTAGGTCTATGTATGGTTTAAATGGGCTAAACATGACAAGTGTTTCATTTGATGAAATGTACAATTTCCTTAATTTTCGGTATGGTCCTGTTGAACCGCGAATTCTTACACACGAAGTGCTGGATAATATTCAAGGCGTTTGTGTGAGGACGTTTTCAATGAAAAAAAATAAAATAGTATGGCTTGATTCTTCGATTTTAAACTCCAATTCGCGTTTCACCCAGTGCATTACACACTTGGACCTTTCTGATAATGATTTCCTGGGAGACAAGCAGCTTTTATTCAAACTTGTCTTTGCGCCTCAGTTGGTGTTTCTGAATTTTTCAAATCACTTAAGGAGAAACGAGTTCTTTCCAACAACAATTCCTGAACATAACTCCCTGTTATCAGTACCAACATTCCGTCTCACACTTCCCAGCAAACTGGAGTACCTTTATATGCATGGTTCGTTGAGCGATGTAGGTTACATAAACGGCAATATTGAATTTACAAATGCAGTATCGCTCAAGAGTCTCAACTTTGAATTTAACGGTTTGTATGCCTTTAAATACAATATTTATGGATTAGAGAACCTCACTGATTTCGATGTCTCTGGAAACTACTTCACCAACGTGAATCCTGGACTATTGAAATATTTTCCAAGTTTGACAACTCTTAAGATGTCTCAAATGGGCTTTAAAAACGACTTTCTACTTAAAGAGGGACGTGAGATGTTTTTGCCATTAGGTGCACTGAAAAATATTGTTCTTAGTCGCAATGATTTAGCAGTCATGGATTCACAGATATTTGCTGGGAATCAACTGGCAGTCATTGATTTGTCCTTTAACCGCTTTGAGAGTATCCCCTTTGACATTACAACAACTCCGTCTCTCCTACGTCTTGACCTCAGTTACAACTCGCTGCCTGTACTATCAGCGTCACAGAGGAGTCTACTTGATGCCTTGGCAACAACAAATAACCTTACTTTGAACCTTAACAACAACCTTCTGTCCTGCGGATGTGAGAACTTAGACTTTGTGAAGTGGCTGTTCCAAACAGATGTGAAAGTTGAAAGCATAGATACATATACCTGTGTATCTGATGATGGCGTTATTACATCTCCATCTTTTATTTATCATCATTATGATGAAACCTGGAGAAGGTGTTCGGGACCAATTTGGTTATCTCTATCTGTTTCTGCTTTTGCACTGATCATTTTATTCATGATTTTAATATACCTGATAAACCAGAAAAAGACTTTAGTTTTAAACATCATTCACCGGTTGTTTGGGTTGGTAAATGTCTCCAAATCACCGAAACGTACTGACTTTCCTAATGACGCCTACATCGGCTACAGCGACGTCGATTACCAGTACATCTGTCACACTGTGAGAGAACACCTGGAAGATAGACATGGAGTCAAACTCTTCCTGAAGGACAGAGATACCATCCCTGGTGGACAAATAGCCGACGACATCATCAGCGGAATAGATTCAAGTTGGAAGACGGTCCTCGTTCTCACCCAGTCTTTTATTGAGGACCAGTGGTGCCGCTTCATTGTTAATCGTATTGTGTATTCCTCCACTAGAATGCCAGTTGGTAGTATCCTGCTTGTGTTGTTTGAGGACGTGAGACGAGGGGACATCTCCCCGGCCCTGCTCAATGTTGTGGTAGAGAGACACATCTTCAGTGTGGGGAAGTACAGGGACGACCAGGGCAGCTTTTGGAGAGACGTTAGTCAGCGTATCATGAATGAAACGGAATTTTAGAGAAAACGATTACTCGTTGACCTGTGGAGAAGGAATTGTGGCATAAATAATTGGAAACTGACATTGACTCTTTTTCGGAGATCGTTAGATATTTTTGAAAATGTGACATCTGTGTCGTGTGCTCTCTTGCAACACAACCTAGTCCGAGTATCCTTTCACGTGCAGTCCACGCCACGCATTGTAAATACTGATGATAGAGTGCTTGCTCAGCGTGTTAATTGCTTGCTTGTTTGTAGTAATAATGTGTGTATTCATACTAATTCAAAGTGATGTTGTGTCGAACTTCGATATGTCGACAGTAAAAAGTAAAAATGTGGTCCCTGCCTATTCATTTTGCGGTTGTGTCAAACCTCAGATAACTCGAAGTACTTACGTGGGTCCCTTCTACTTCGACAAAACGATGTTTGTACTGGAAATGGAATCGCTATGCTATCTGAAAGTTAGAAAGAGTGAAAAAACAATATGCACAGTCATAAGAAATGGAGGTGTGCCTTTAATCATTTCTGGTCGTGCCTTATATGGGTATACCTGGTGATGTACTTAATGTGTAAACTGGTCTAGAATTGATCCCTCTTTTCACCATGTTTTCACTGTAACGATTGGTGTCTCAAATAAGTGATAGCCATCATATTTGTATTATTCAACGTCTTTCCAAAATTGTAAAAATATACATTTATGAATAAAATTCTTTATTACTTGATTCACCTCATTTCAGTATAGTTTTATTCATATAAAATAGTTTTTCACTTTTAAAAATATATGCTAGCTAGTTTTAACTCTTTTGTGATACTCAAGGCGAGGCCTGACGACCAGGTTCAAACAGTTATAGGCGAGGCCTGACGACCTGATTCAAACAGTTATAGGCGAGGCCTGACGACCAGGTTCAAACAGTTATAGGTGAGGCCTGACGACCTGGTTCAAACAGTTATAGGCGAGGCCTGACGACCATGTTCAAACAGTTATAGGCGAGGCCTGACGACCTGGTTCGAACAGTTATAGGCGAGGCCTGACGACCAGGTTCGAACAGTTATAGGCGAGGCCTGACGACCAGGTTCAAACAGTTATAGGCGAGGCCTGACGACCAGGTTCAAACAGTTATAGGCGAGGCCTGACGACCAGGTTCAAACAGTTATAGGCGAGGCCTGACGGCCAGGTTCAAACAGTTATGGGCGGGCCTGACGACCTGGTTCAAACAGTTATGGGCGGGCCTGACGACCTGGTTCAAACAGTTATGGGCGGGCCTGACGACCAGGTTCAAACAGTTATAGGCGGGCCTGACGACCTGGTTCGAACAGTTATAGGCGAGGCGTGACGACCAGGTTCAAACAGTTATGGGCGGGCCTGACGACCTGGTTCAAACAGTTATAGGCCAGGCCTGACGACCAGGTTCAAACAGTAATAGGCGAGGCCTCACGACCAGGTTCAAACAGTTATAGGCGAGGCCTGACGACCAGGTTCAAACAGTTATAGGCGAGGCCTGACGACCAGGTTCAAACAGTTATAGGCGAGGCCTGACGCCCAGGTTCAAACAGTTATGGGCGAGGCCTGACGACCTGGTTCAAACAGTTATAGGCGAGGCCTGACGACCAGGTTCAAACAGTTATAGGCGGGCCTAACGACCAGATTCAAACAGTTATAGGCGAGGCCTGACGACCAGGTTCAAACAGTTATAGGCGAGGCCTGACGACCAGGTTCAAACAGTTATAGGCGAGGCCTGACGACCAGGTTCAAACAGTTATAGGCGAGGCCTCACGACCAGGTTCAAACAGCTATAGGCGAGGCCTGACGACCAGGTTCAAACAGTTATAGGCGAGGCCTGACGACCAGGTTCAAACAGTTATAGGCGAGGCCTGACGACCAGGTTCAAACAGCTATAGGCGAGGCCTGACGACCAGGTTCAAACAGGTATATTCGAGGCCTGACGACCAGGTTCAAACAGTTATAGGCGAGGCCTGACGACCAGGTTCAAACAGTTATAGGTGAGGCCTGACGACTAGGTTCAAACAGTTATAGGCGAGGCCTGACGACCAGGTTCAAACAGTTATAGGCGAGGCCTGACGACCTGGTTCGAACAGTTATAGGCGAGGCCTGACGACCAGGTTCGAACAGTTATAGGCGAGGCCTGGCGACCAGGTTCAAACAGTTATAGGCGAGGCCTGACGACCTGGTTCAAACAGTTATAGGCGAGGCCTGACGACCTGGTTCAAACAGTTATAGGCGAGGCCTGACGACCAGGTTCAAACAGTTATGGGCGGGGCCTAACGACCAGGTTCAAACAGTTATAGGTGAGGCCTGACAACCAGGTTCAAACAGTTATAGGCGAGGCCTGACGACCAGGTTCAAACAGCTATAGGCGAGGCCTGACGACCAGGTTCAAACAGTTATAGGCGAGGCCTGACGACCAGGTTCAAACAGTTATAGGCGGGCCTGACGACCTGGTTCGAACAGTTATAGGCGAGGCGTGACGACCAGGTTCAAACAGTTATGGGCGGGCCTGACGACCTGGTTCAAACAGTTATAGGCCAGGCCTGACGACCAGGTTCAAACAGTAATAGGCGAGGCCTGACGACCAGGTTCAAACAGTTATAGGCGAGGCCTGACGACCAGGTTCAAACAGTTATAGGCGAGGCCTGACGACCTGGTTCAAACAGTTATAGGCGAGGCCTGACGCCCAGGTTCAAACAGTTATAGGCGAGGCCTGACGACCTGGTTCAAACAGTTATAGGCGAGGCCTGACGACCAGGTTCAAACAGTTATGGGCGGGGCCTAACGACCAGGTTCAAACAGTTATAGGTGAGGCCTGACGACCAGGTTCAAACAGTTATAGGCGAGGCCTGACGACCAGGTTCAAACAGTTATAGGCGAGGCCTGACGACCAGGTTCAAACAGCTATAGGCGAGGCCTGACGACCAGGTTCAAACAGTTATAGGCGAGGCCTGACGACCAGGTTCAAACAGTTATAGGCGAGGCCTGACGACCAGGTTCAAACAGTTATAGGCGAGGCCTGACGACCAGGTTCAAACAGTTATAGGCGAGGCCTGACGACCAGGTTCAAACAGTTATAGGCGAGGCCTGACGACCAGGTTCAAACAGCTATAGGCGAGGCCTGACGACCAGGTTCAAACAGGTATATCTGAGGCCTGACGACCAGGTTCAAACAGTTATAGGCGAGGCCTGACGACCAGGTTCAAACAGTTATAGGCGAGGCCTGACGACCAGGTTCAAACAGTTATAGGTGAGGCCTGACGACTAGGTTCAAACAGTTATAGGCGAGGCCTGACGACCAGGTTCAAACAGTTATAGGCGAGGCCTGACGACCAGGTTCAAACAGTTATAGGCGAGGCCTGACGACCAGGTTCAAACAGTTATAGGCGAGGCCTGACGACCAGGTTCAAACAGTTATAGGCGAGGCCTGACGACCAGGTTCAAACAGTTATAGGCGAGGGCTGACGACCAGGTTCAAACAGTTATAGGTGAGGCCTGACGACCAGGTTCAAACAGTTATAGGCGAGGCCTGACGACCAGGTTCAAACAGTTATGGGTGAGGCCTGACGACCAGGTTCAAACAGTTATGGGCGAGGCCTGACGACCAGGTTCAAACAGTTATGGGCGAGGCCTGACGACCAGGTTCAAACAGTTATAGTCGAGGCCTGACGACCTGGTTCAAACAGTTATGGGCGGGGCCTGACGACCAGGTTCAAACAGTTATAGGCGAGGCCTGACGACCTGGTTCGAACAATTTTAAGCGAGTTTTGATGATTTCTCTCCTACCGCTCATGATATTCTCATTGCACGCGTTATATACTTCTTTGTGGCCACCTGGTTATATTTAGTTTCATATCGGATTGTTCTTTTATCGGTGAGATCCCACGCGAATGGTTATTGACCATGCGAACATATTCTTTAATGTATGCCTGTATCATAGAATCTCTTCGCCTTTCTATCTTAAACCATTTTCAATATGGTTTTGTCGCAGTTAAGCGAAATCTTGTGCAATTCTAAAAGGCGAGAAACTTAGAATTATGCAAATGCGCATATTATATTCTTCGGCCTTTGAAACCTGCATAAGAACTTATCTCTGTGTGTGGTGGATTCGATGCCAGTATATTTAATAAAACTCTAATGGGAATTATGTGCGCATCGTACCTCGTTATTGTTCCTCCATCTTTCCACCTAAAAAGAGCACAAACGCGATCATGTCAACACTTATATTTTCCAATTGCTTAATGCCTAGGGTGAGTGAGTCAAAGCGACTTATGACCAGACACTGGATATTTGTGGTTTCAATATTCTAGAAATATATTAGTCGATGAGTTTAACTGTCCAGGCGGACTATGACAGGAAAAATCACTTGAGTATTTCGTGTATGAATCACACGATTCTCGCGCCATATTTCCTGATCGTCATGACATACTCGTAGTGAACCATAGACCGTAGTTTCAGGATGTCATAAACATGATAGTGCATGCATGCCCATGTAACCCCGCAGTTAAAATGGTCATCATATTTTCGCAGGAAACAGTATTCCTTTACTTTAAACCCTGTGGCTCTATATATCAGTTATAAACAAAAGAACGATGTTTTTATTTAAACTTCCGAACATTATTTAACCAGGATCCTTTCGTACGAAATATATTTGTCACAAATTAAAGTGACCTTTTCAGAAATTATATTTCCGGAAATCTTTATTATGTCCTGGGTCATAAATCGCCATGGTAAACAACGTATAATTATAGTGTATAGTCGAGGATGATTTTGTACAGCAGCATTGTAGGCAATATGTTTTTCACCATTTATGCCAATAAAGAAAAAATATCAATTACCAACATTTAACATGGTAATATATGTTTGTCACAAAGTTCACTTTAAACGGGTTTTCAGGGTTTATTATTGAAGATGCAACTATATAACAACCACTCCCTACAGGCAACTCTCTGTGGTAGAACTGACACAGTGGCTTTCGGGGATCGAATCGTCTTTTCCAAAAGACGTCAAAATATGATACTTGTTGTTACCTTGTATGGAGTGAGTGAGTGAGGTGATAAAATGGAACTTTTGGGCTCTGAGTCTATGTAATGTGTGTTAGTGGAGTAACATGTTTCAACATGCCGATGTCCTGTTTAAGGTGGTAAGTTCACACAGACATCTATACGCAAGACTGTGCGGAACAACTTCAGTGTTTACCAACCTACAAAGAAATCTTGCACAATTAACAATTCCATTGTGAAATTAACTAGGTTTACAAACCAACATAAATTACTGCAAAGCTGTAACAATGGCAATGGCAGTACAAGAGTCAAAGTCTGTGCTGTTCCAGTGCCAGTATATATTACAATTACAATGGTAATATAGTAATACTCAGCTTATATGGCGCTTATATCCAGGCACATTGCCTGTTCACGGCGCTACGTACATTATTACCCCCTGTCATAGGATTTTCCGATACTTTCCGATACTTTTTCAACTCCCTGGGGACGATACAGCTATACTGCCTGTTAGGCCCAATGAACATTCACATAGCCAGCACATCCTCACGGGTACCCATTTTACAGCTGGGGAACTGACACGATGTGGATCTAAGTATATTGTCCAAGGATAGAACGCAATGTGCCCACCTCGGGACCGAACCTAGGATCGAACCCGGGCTTCAGCGTGATAGGCAGACGCCTTACCACTGCACTACTGCGCTCCACACAG